CTAGCCACTAGCCCCGTGTTGCACACTGGTTCATAACTCACTGCTAGCCACTAGCCCGTGTTGCACACTGGTCCATAACTCAATGCTAGCCACTAGCTCCGTGTTGCACACTGGTTCATAACTCACTGCTAGCCACTAGCTCCGTGTTGCACACTGGTCCATAACTCACTGCTAGCCACTAGCCCCGTGTTGCACACTGGTTCATAACTCACTGCTAGCCACTAGCCCCGTGTTGCACACTGATCCATAACTCACTGCTAGCCACTAGCCCCGTGTTGCACACTGGTCCATAACTCACTGCTAGCCACTAGCTCCGTGTTGCACACTGGTTCATAACTCACTGCTAGCCACTAGCCCCGTGTTGCACACTGGTCCATAACTCACTGCTAGCCACTAGCTCCGTGTTGCACACTGGTCCATAACTCACTGCTAGCTACTAGCTCCGTGTTGCACACTGGTCCAGAACTCACTGCTAGCTACTAGCCTGGTGTTGCACACTGGTCCATAACTCACTGCTAGCCACTAGCCCCGTGTTGCACACTGGTCCATAACTCACTGGTAGCCACTAGCCCCGTGTTGCACACTGGTCCATAACTCACTGCTAGCCACTAGCCCCGTGTTGCACACTGGTTCATAACTCACTGCTAGCCACTAGCCCCGTGTTGCACACTGGTTCATAACTCACTGCTAGCCACTAGCCTCGTGTTGCACACTGGTCCATAACTCACTGCTAGCCACTAGCCCCGTGTTGCACACTGGTCCATAACTCACTGCTAGCCACTAGCCCCGTGTTGCACACTGGTCCATAACTCACTGCTAGCTACTAGCAATCCCAGTTGTTGATTTCCCTTGAGAACTGTTATCACCTATATTTCCTTTTTGTGTACAGTACACCTTGTAGGTCCTGGGATGTGTGTACAGTACACCTTGTAGGTCCTGGGATTTGTGTACAGTACACCTTGTAGGTCCTGGGATTTATGTACAGTACACCTTGTAGGTCCTGGGATTTGTGTACTGTACACCTTGTAGGTCCTGGGATGTGTGTACAGTACACCTTGTAGGTCCTGGGACCACACCTACATTTGAGGAAATAATTCACACATGAATGATATAATTTTATCTGAGTGGAATTATTACTGCAGGAAACTGATTTAACTCATTTTTTCATGCACTCACTTTATCACTGGGGACTTCTACTTAGTATATACATATATATATATATATATATATATATATATATATATATATATATATATATATATATATATATATATATATATATATATATATATATATATATATATATATATATATATATATATATATATATATATATATATATATATATATATATATATATATATATATATATATATATATATATATATATATATATATATATATATATATATATATTAGCTTAATTGTTAGGAAATACAACTGCAGTGTATTTATACTATTGTATACATTGATGTATACAATGATGCTGGATACCTAGCTGGATACTTGGACACTTGAAGGAATTACTGTCACCAAGATGGATTACTGGCAGGCATATTCAGTGCTATTGAAATCAAACTGATGACACATGAGTCGTGTGTCCGGAGTGGTGATGACCCGGGATAGTCCCAGAATGTGTTGATGATGAGGGTGTCAAGATATACACCTAATAGTATGATACTTTATATTAGTTCTACTACTAATTGTCTCATCATTCTAACTTTTAGGCATCAATTGCGGCAATATGTCTTATCGGTCTAGTGTTAAACTTCACTTTAACTTTACAATATATCATCTTTAAGATTTTTAGTTTAATGTCACTCACTAAATGACAGAATCAATCAACCAACCGACCAGAAATGTAAGGCTGATTTAAATTGGTATAAACCAATATAGCGCAGACAGTAATGACTCGTATAAACTGTTACGAATTTAGATTCTGAGTCTGACAATGACAATATATACGGGTTGTGTTGTTATTGTGATTCGTATGTAATTATTATACTGTATTTTTCTATGTAACCTTTCCAATAATAAATGTTGAAGCACTTATGAATAAAGTTCATAACTTGATTTGATAATAACTGTACACGAAAATCACCAATTAATATTCAGCCCATGAATTGAGAAATCCCCCAACAATTACCTCCATGCCCCTATTTCAAAGGTGATTAACCCCTCCTCAGACCCAAGCTATCCTTCCACTTGGCTGTCTGTCCCCCGCACTAGAGTCCTGCCCTCGGAGTGGACACCACAGCTCTACAACCCCTGAACACAACCTCTCCTCTATACAACACAACTGCAAAAAAGAGGTCATCTGTCACCTCTTTATATTAAATGATTTTTCATGAGTTTTCAAATGTCTTCCGTCAGCTTGTCTGGGGTACATTTTCTTCTATGCAATAGTAAACCAAACCTGGCTTGATCCCACCGTAGAGTTATACGTCAATTACACAACGAAAGTTTTCTATCTCTTTTCTATTCAGTTCCATTTAGAAAT